AAAAAAAAAAAAAAAAAACAGATCGCAGAAAAAAGAAAGTAATTTTAAAGAAAAGAAAAGAAAAAAATGGAAAAAGGTAAGGACATGAATGAATGCCAGCAGATGCTCTTTCCATAAACATGTAAACAATCTTTCTTAAAAAGGTGACCAAAAAAAAAAAAAAAAAAAGTGCAAGACGTGAATGAATCCCGGTACGCAAAACGAGAGAGAGGCGGCACGAGTGAAAAACTCTCGTTCTGGCACCAAAAAAAAAGAAATTCAGAAAAGAGGACAAAAAAAAGAAATGGCGCAACAAACGACTGCGGGGAGTACCCTAGGAAGAGCACCTCTCTACCACCCACCTCCCAGATATTGCCTAACTGGCAGTAGACAGCATAAGTTGGCCCCCCAAAATAAAAAAGCACTACTATGACCTGTGTTGCAATATACCACGCTTCCCCCCCCCCGTCCCGTTCCCCCGAACCCCCCCACATATCCCCGATCGTGCCGCCGCCCCTCTCCCATTGTCTTCATCCGAATCGCCTCATCCTACTGCGTGCATCACCTTATCCTCTTTCGTGTATCGCACTGTCCACTTCTGTGTATTGCCTTATCCCCTTCCTGTGATCGATCACCGTATCCGATTCCATGTACTGCCGTCCTCGTAAACAGCAATACAACTTCTACCCACCTCGCAATTGATCCATCACTTACCGATCTTCACCTCCAGTGCTCTGCCGCTGCCTCACCACCATCGTACATGCAGAATGCCACTGGGCAATGACACAGAAGATATAAGACCCATCCAGCCTTTGTTGCCTTCAATCCTTTGTCGACTTTGTTGATTGCATGGTGGGTTCATCTGACTTTGTCATTTGTCGCCGCCGTCCTTTGTTGACTTCATCCTTTGTCGACTTCATCTTTTTGTTGACTTCATCTTTGTGTTGACTTCATCTTTTTGTTGACTTCATCTTTGTTGACTTCATCTTTGTTGACTTTGTGGATTCCTTGATGCACAAAAAAAAAACCCCTCTGTCACTCTCCAGTGTATGCAACACCCAAAGGCCCCAAAGTGCACTGTTGATTTGAGTAACAAAAAAAAAAAAAGAAAAAAAAAAGAAAAAAAAAAAAAAGATTTAGTCAACGCCGGCTCAACGGGAAAATAGGAAAAACCAGCAAGGTTGGATCGACTCCCAAGTCCGGCTCGGCTTCTGCAGCTGCCAATATCATTTCTGGTCTTCTTTTCCTTTCCCAAAAATTGCCAACCAAACAGATTTCTGGAGAAGACACAACTTCCATTTAGAAATTGCAAAATTGCAAAATTGCAAATCGCATTCCAAATTTCCAACCCGTTTATTGCATTCCTCTCTGTTCCGCTTCACTCACTAGTTGCTCCATTCCCATCCCATGTACTTCTCTGTCTCCATCCCAATCCCAATCGCCTTATCCCCTTCCACGTATCACCTTATCGGATAAAGCACCTGCGGGAGCGCACGAGGTGCAGTTCCTCGCAGCCTAGCACGCTGCACCTATGTCCGCAGTATGAGCAGTGCACGTGCATCAGTGATCCGCGCACGGCGCCCACAGTGTGTGCAGTGCACGCACATCAGTGATTCGCGCACGGCGCGCCGCACCACACAGTGCACCGCACAGGTTGCGTCGCAAGTACGCCTGATCCTCCTCTTCCACATATCGGCTTATCACCTTCAAGAGTATACTCTGTCCTGTTCCCATGTACACTCCGCTCCGCCTCCTTCCCAATCACCTTATCCTCTTCCGTTTCTTGCCTTATCGCCTTCCGCGTACCGCCTTGTCCCCTCCCATGCATGCACTGTCCCATCCCCATGTATACTCTGTCCCATTCCCATGTATACTCTGTCCCATTCCCATGTTTACTCTGTCCCATTCCCATGTATACTCCGTCTCTTACAGTCCCATTCCCATGTTTACTCTGTCCCGGTCCCATGTTACACGTATACTCTGTCTCCACTTCCACGTATCGCCGTATCCTCTTCCCGTGTATCGCCTTATCCCCTTCCCACGTATCGCCTTATCCCCTTCCACGTATGCCCTGTATCCATCTCACTTGCCTTATATATCCCCTTCCATGCCCCTCCCATGTACCTTGCCGTCTTCCATGTACTGCCTTATCCCCTTCCACGTATGCCCTCGTATCCATCTCACTTGCCTTATATATCCCCTTTGATGTGCCTCATCCACTTCCACGCCCCTCCCATGTGCCCTACTGTCTTCCATGTATCGCCTTATCCTCTTTCATGTATGCCCTTATCCGCTCCCGTGTATCGCCTTTTCGACTCCCATTGACTCCCATGGGACACAGCATACTATGTCCCATTTCACTCTTATCGCAGTCCCAAGGACAATCTAGTAAAGACAAAGATAAGGATAAGGGCATACATGAAAGAGGATAGGGATAAGGGCATACATGAACGAAGACGAAGCTTCACAGACAAGAATCAAACAAGGAATTATAAAAAAAAAAAACAAGGGGAAAAGACAAAAAAAAAAAAAACAAAAAAAAACTGCGAGCTGTTCCCACTTGCATCCAGAATAAGGAAAGACAAAACTATCCGAGGGACTTCACTGAACTATCAGAGACTTAGGGCCTCGCTTCATAATTCGGCACATATTTCGGACGGTCAAATGGACCAACTGCATTCGAACTGATCCAACATTTTGACCGCATAAGGACAATTCCATGTCCAGATACATTCGAATGCTCCATAGTGGAGCGATGCCCTTGCACTCATCACCCAAAGAACGACGACTGCAATACAAGCCTGTCGATCTTGCTATATCTACATCACACCGAGGGCGAAGTCACCCAAATCACTGTATCAGAAACCACCCACCACCCTGTGCCATCTAGCTACTCTTACCTACAAGGTGCAACAAGGATCGGGCGGAAGGGACTGCAAAACTACCTGTCGTGTGCGATCTAGCTACTGACGATCAGTTACGATGCCGTGAAGGCAACGACCGGCTGTGGGCTGCACTGGCTTTGTCCATCAAGGAACTATTTTCACCGAGACATTATCGATGAACGAACGGTTTTCATTGCGCCGCCACAGAATCTCGCAAAATCTAGCAGCAGCCAATCATGTGCCAAAGTAATCACGCTACTACTAATCAGCGACGCTGGCCACATGTCGAGGAGCCGACTTACCATTCCCCATTCCCTGCAAAGCAATGCTCACCATTAATTAAAGGCAATATAACGCCACCGCCTTGAGGCTGTCCAGAGAGAGATTATTAGTTGTTATAGGGAGGGTGGTGAAACCAAACCAGTCATAATGCCTCGGATTGAATGCCATCGACTGCCGATTCGCGTCAACCAATGAACTCAGTAGCTGAACTGTTTCCACATTTCACAACCAATGAACTCAGTAGTTGAACTGTTTCCACATTTCACTGCATCGAGGAGCTCAGCGGCTCTAGCAACCGATACAAGTCGCATCAATGAATGAAAAATGAAACTGTTTTCACTCTACCAAAGGAAAACTAGCAGATCAAGCAACCGATCAATGTGCCGATCCCACCAAGGAGTCAGCGATGTCGCTGCACTGGGGCGCATGAAGCAAGACCCGTAATGCCGCTGGACGGATTCGGAATTGCGTCAATCAATCACAATTGTCGGACAGAGACTTTACAGACGTCGGCGGACTCAAAAACTCTTTCACTACTTTCACTGATTCCTGTCCACTTTTCGATAGACGGAATGATGCGTGTCCTGGATTACGCAAAACACCGCCATCACTGTACGAGATTGCTTATCGACGGAAAAAAAAGGACTGTTTCGTTGTCCAATCTTTTTCGTCGACATGAATGACGCGTCGCGGATTCTGCCACAAAGTACGGACCGTTTCATTGACGCCAATACAACAAACCAACCAGTGCAGAATGTGATGCCAAGGACAAGCAACAGGGTAGAAGAGCAAGATGAGAGAGTTGAATGAGAAAAATCGAGCCGGCGGAAAGGAGCGGCGAGGACCCAGAAGGGCCAGAACTACATACAAGCGAACGAAACCGGCAGTCAGCGAAAAAAAAAATCATACAGAGCAAAAACAGGTGACAAGCAGTTACCCTCTGAACGGCTAAGACAAGTTCGACACAGCCACTGTAGCAATTTAGAAAAGCTGCCTCCTGACAATCTCAACCAATCACATATCTCCTTCCCTCCCCGCCGGGTCGCTCTCCACACTCTCCTTCCCCTACTCTCAAACCAGAGTTCGACACAGCCACCGTAGCGGTTTAGAAAAGCTGCCTCCTGACAATTGCAACCAATCACATATCTCCTTCCTCCCTCGTCGGGTCGCTCTCCACACCCTCCCTCCCCTACTCTCAACACCCCCCCCTTCTCCCTCCTCGACCCCCCAAAGCGGTCCAGCAACTGTTTTTCACACAGCTTCGCTCCCACTCTAGTCGTCCCCCTCCTCGACCCTCCTGCTCCTCCTCATCATCATCATCCACCTCTTTCCTGTTCTACCTAGGGCAAACAAGAGTCTCCAGCTACAGTGCAGCCCAAGGGTGACACTAGGTGCACGCTGGCAGTAGCGTACGGCATTGCCACAGGGGAGGAGAGATGAAACTTGCAAACGGCCATGCGAGCGTGTGAGATGGCTTCTTCCCCAACAATGCTGTGCGCTTCGACAGGTCACTGGTAGGCGAAAGAGATGCAAGGCAAAATACAGCAACGCAGTTCAGTTCGCGATGCTCTCGCTACCAATTCTGTGCAAGATAATCAATGGTAGCCAATAGAACCTCAATTACCCAGAGCTTTAATTGTACGCCAGAGATTCAGTGTGTCGGCGTACGGAACCTCCACTACCCCAGCTCTAAGCGTAAGCAAGAAGTCAAATTTGTGTCAGACGGTAAAGCAACCTTAACTACCCAGCAGTGATGGCATTCCATTGTCTAGAAATAGGAGACTGTCACGATTGCGTGATTGGAAAAAGGCACTCCCAGGACCGCAAGACCTACGAAATGCACATTGCCCAAACATTGGGTACTAAATGACCTCAAAGAAAACCTAGGCTATTGTGCACTGAACTTCAATACATTGCTCAGAAACGGGAGGCCGTGCCACTCACAGCATTATAACAGATGAATTATCCCTTTTGGCTCCTGTTCCTGCTCGTCAGGTACTCACCACTCGCACCCAAAAGCATCAGCGCAAGAAGAAAGCGATGAGAAAATCGACGAGGTCGGCTGCGGAACGAAAGGTCCTCAACTTTCATTCCCTGCTGCGATGGTATACCAACCAACCAACCAACCACCCCAACCAACCAACCAACCAACCACCCCAACCAACCAACCAAACCAACCAACCAACCAACCAACCAACCAACCAACCAACCAACGAACCAACCAACGAACCAACCAACCAACGGTGTCCGTCCTCCGACAAAGTGGTGTCAACTCGCAACTCCGACGACAATTACACCAGCGTATGGGAAGGTGTTTCTTCGCCTCGACTCACGACTCCTCGGAGATTCCAAGAGCAGCTTCCAACTCTTGGCATGACTGTACAGCAGACAGGAAGAGGAATTGGGACGAAGTTATTTCTTTGACCTTTGTCTGACACAGTCAACTCGCACGACAGTCTTCACCCGAATAGAATGGCCGGTCATTACCGTTGCATCTGGGCAGAAAATTGGCCCAAATATGGCTGTAATGACCGCGCGTATCTCTGGGTGTAAGTGCAGTGAGATTCGTCCGGGACTGACCGTAAAAGCAGAGGCAGAGACAGCCAGAAAAGTCCTAGAGTGAGTATGGCCCGACACAGCCACCTAACTCGCCCCGCTATGCATCTACTCCACATCACTGGAGCGATTCCTTCATTGTTTGAGCACGGCCACGGAACTCCTATTGTTGAATACGGCCCGGGACAACCAACTCACTCACCATCTGAGCAGGCAGGGCATTAACCAAAAGGACGGCGCGCTCACTTGTTTGTCCGAAAACAACGAGGAATCTACGCTCGAACCGAAGAAGAAACGCGCGAGGGAGTCGGCTTTGACCTTGGCGCCATGTCCGAGAGCGACGGCAGATCCTCCATGGCGATGGCGTCTTGCAGTTCTCTTACCACCTCCTGCATCTTCGGCCGCTCCTTTGCCCTTTTGTTTGTGCAGTGCAGCGCAACCGTAAGCACGAACTTGATGGACTCGACGTTGAACAACTTTGGAAGTTTCGGATCGAGGATCGCTTCGATTCCCCGCCAGTTCTCCCGCGGCAGCAGCGTCTGCATCTCTGTCTCTTCTTGTAAAGTGCTTTTGACCTGGGTTGACAAACAAGAGGAGGAAGAAGAGAAGACAAAATCAGTTCATTGCTCCCATAAAATCAGCTGTTCATTTGAAATACATATATATCGTCACAAACAGAACTGCCCGGTAAACCGTAGGCAGAGAGAGAGAAGAGGACAACAAACGAGGGGCTGTGACAAACTGTTTCGTCGGAGTTTCACTGACTCATCAGGAGGCTGAACCCTCAACAGTCTGCAGAATCCCCTCACTGATTACACTGTAAATGATAATCTACCTTAACCAAAATCAAAGTAGACTATCACTCACCCACACCAGATGGAAAA